GTACGGGTTTGTGAAGGGGTTGTCTTTCACAAACCCTAATAGCTGCTTTGTGCGAACAATAATCTCTTTGTGAGATTATCATTCTTAGTGAAAGCTCTTTGTGATACTTCGTTGTTCTGTTCTTCTTATTATTCATTGTTTGATAAATCGATTGATCTAAGGTCCTTTCAGAATTACATTCTCTTTGTCCTAAATATAATGACATCATACTTTTCATGTCAGAAAGAAAGAAGGTCAAACCTTAAAGTAGTCAAAAGGAAGCAAACATATACATATTAGAAAGCTCATGAATTTGAAGTAAATGCAAGGTCACATAAAGAAACATTCATCTTACCTTTACCACCTTTACACATACCCAAAACACTGAATACATACACCCGAAAAAACAGCAGTACCAAATTCATATCAGAAATTGAACAAAAGAATTACCAAAGAGAAGGTACGATCAAGAAAAAAAACAAACAAACCTGGTTGGGTTGTGTGTTCTTAAATGATAAACAACAGTTACATTTTGGGTGTGCTTCCTTTTACATCAGATTCCATTTCATAAATTGCAAAACAAAACAATAGCATCACTATTGTAGTTAACCAAAAACATCTTCCCAACCAAGTATAAGTAGGGTTTTAAAATCAAATTGTTCTATCGATGCAAATGACAAACCCGAACCTATAATTTTGAAAATGAGAAACCCAAACCTAGAATTTTTCGATGATTTCTATGTAGAGGTCAGCATGTCCGTGTTGTAGGCGGTGGATAGCCAGCCTGAGGAATAGATGTAACACCCCGTTCTTGGTAAGCATTTGAAACATTATTTTTCTTCTTATTTTAGAAGCTACTCGACGAGTCAGTGGCCCTAACTCGTCGAGTAGCAGCACGTGAAGTTAGCGTGGCGACTCGACGAGTCCATATTCCTGACTTGGTGAGTCCGCCAGTCTGGATGAAGCCCTAATTTTCAGGGTGTGCACCCTATTTAAAAATCATTATAGCCCCAAACCAGCCTCCTTCACCTCTCAGAGACTTATTCCTGAAACCCTAGCCTCCTTGAAGTGTGTGTGATTGATCTTTTCCCTTGTGAAGGAACTTTTGGTGCATTGTTGAGTAAGAATAAGAAGGAGAAGGTAGAAGAACTCAAGGAAGAAGAAGTAGATCTATATTATACTCCTCTTTGGTCATCCTTTCTGTTAATAAAGAGTTCATCTTGATTATTGTACTACTAGATCTAGTTTGTCCCCAAATTGATGATTTTGAGCTCAAAAACACCAAATCCCTAGTGATGAAGCTTTGTAATCGAGCCATATCTCGGATATAGCCTCTCTTGAGCTCTAGGAGCTCAAGAAGGCTACCTTTTGACAGATATGGTATTTTTTTAGTCAAATAACCCCCATAATAGCCAAATTTGACTGCTATTGCCTCATTGCATCATAGATACACGTAAAGTTAACGACTTTACGTGTTTAGATATTCCCAGAAACTCAGATCTATGAATTGGATGCATTAAAGCTGATTAGAATCGATGGAATGGGAACTACATGCTAAGGACTCGACGAGTCGTTCTTTTGACTTGGCGAGTCAGGTCGCGAGTCTTAGATTCCCGGTTCAGTAGTAGCGAGTCTGTTTAGTGAGTGGAGTAAGGACTCAGTGAGTTAAGACATGGAGAGGAACTCGGCGAGTCTACACCCTGACTCGGTGAGTCCAAGGCAATCTCCTTACCCGTAAGAACAGACTCGACGAGTTGTTCATATAAGTCGGCGAGTTGGTTGAAGGTTGGCATGGTATCACTAAAAAAGGGGAACTCGTCGAGTTGTGGCAAAACTCAGTGAGTAGAGTTGGGTAAGGAATTAGAAGGAAAGATAGGGACTCGACGAGTTGGCGGCCCAACTCAGCGAGTCAGGTCAACGGGTTGTTGACTTTAACCAGGGGGTAAAATAGTCATTTTACCCTAAGATTAGTTATCAGTGTTTGATTAAGTGTTTGTTGGGAATTGTAGTCGGGGAGTTACTGGAGCATCGGTCAGACAGTTTCTGATCAGCATTTCAGCAGTCAGCCTTATGAGGTGAATTTTCCTTCCAGTAGGAACGAGTCTAAGGCCACAATGCTGGCCCGTTTAGATAGCTGTAGTTCCGGACTGCGGTCCGATGCAGTAGTTTAGTATGCTTGATGTCTTTGTGATACAAGCATGTTATGTGTTATGTGTTCTGGACTATGGTCTGATGTAGTATGCAGTATATATGCTTATGTTACATGCTATGATTATGCTATGCTATGTTGAGTCGGTTCCGGACTTCGGTCCGATGCAGTGGGCGAGGCCCTAGTCAGTTCCGAACTTCGGTCTGATGCAGTGGGCAAGGCCCTAGTCAATTCCGAACTTCGGTCCGATGTAGTTCCGGACTTCGTTCTAATGTAGTGGGCAAGGCCCTAGTCAGTTCCGGACTTCGTTCCCGATGCAGTTCCGAACTTCGGTCCAATGCAGTGGGCAAGGCCTTAGTTAGTTCTGGACTTTGGTCCAATGCAGTGGACAAGTCCCAGTATGTGCTTATTATATTATTTTATGGTATGGGGTAGTTTGGGGGGAACTCACTAAGCTTCGTGCTTACAGTTTCAATTTTGGTTTCAGGTACTCCAGCTAGCAAAGGGAAGGGCTCGGGATGATGGCATGACACACACCACAGTTTAGCCTGGGAGTTAGACTCTGATATTTTGATATGACCTTGACACTAGTTTCGATTTGATAAATTTATTATGACATTTTGAGATACCTGATTCATGGTTTTTATATTTTGATATTTGATATTATGGTTTAGTATGTTTGCAAACGAAAATTTTTGGGTTGTATTTTTTGGATGTTTCAATAGATGAGCTTTAAAATAATAACCCCTGGTGAGCGACTGAATTCAGCGGAAACATCTGAAAGCAAATTAGATGAGGCGGTCAGACCTAAATCAATTATTTACAAAAACCATCTTCTAATGAATCAATTACAATGAAAAGAAAAACAAACCCCATGTTAATTATTGTTTCCTAAGAATCGATTCAAGAAAAACACAATATAAAGAGGTCGAACCTTATAAGAGATTAAAGTGCCATCATCACTGGTGCGACTGTAGTTGCATTGATTTCTTCTACACTATTGCCAATCAAAACAATGGACATAATATCATTGATAAGGCATGCGTCAATGTGTAGAAGGGATCACTCCGAATAACCGGAATTGGATCCGATGATCGTTAGGCTTGGACTACATCGCATTCGATGTTTCCGTCTGAAGGCCTGGATGGTGATGTTTAGGGCTAGAAGTCGTTGCAGACACAGTTCTGATCGATTCTATCTTGTGGTTTGGGGTTTAGGACGAACTGCATTCACAATCGATATCTAGTTGAGGAAAGCAGAGGCGAGAGTGTTGGATAATGACTGGAGATGGGTTAGAGTAAAATCGATATCTATTGGAGGAAAGCAGAGGCGAGAGTGTTAGAAGGGCTGGAGATGGGTTAGAGCAAAATCAATGCGGTGGAAAAAAAAAAAAACAATGAAACAACACATGTCGGTGACATGTGGCAAGAAACAGTGAAAGGAAGCGATGACGATGCCATGACGGTATCTGTAGAGTTCACACCACGTGTAATATATAACTGGATAAACAAATGGAATAAACAACAAAAAATAGAAAGAAAGTAAATAAATTAAAAGAAAAAAACAAAACTCAAGCCAATAAAAAAGGAGTACTATTCAATAAGGACTTTAGAATCACAAATATTATGTAATATGAAAAATAATGTAAAAAGACATGTAAAAGGTTATTCTATATTTGAATGAATTTTAGTAATACTCGATAAGATCGTAAAAAATCATGAATAACTTTTTTAAATTCTAGTTTATAATATACTTTTTTATTTTCCAAAGATAACCTAAATAATCTTAAAAAATAAACTAATTGTGACATGTTAAAAATAGCCTAGTTAATCATAACTAGAAAAAAAATTATATTGATTTGCAAAAGTTTAATATTTGTTCTCAAAAAGTCGACTCAATAAATTTATTAGGTTATGTTAGGCATGCCACAATTAAAATATATTTTTGAGGTTTTTTATTGTTATATTTGATAAATCAAAATGTAACTAATAACATAACTTTAAAAAAAACTATTTACACTAGTGTTAGGAGCTTATTGACATTTTCTAAATTTTTCTAAATTTTTAATTATTAATTATCAAACATAACAATCTTCTTCATGCAATTTTATATCATTTTATATAATTTTAGTTAACTTATACATTACTTTTAGCAAACTTTATTTTTATCGATTAATATATCCTCTCTAATAAATGAAGGTTCTTTTTGCCACTTGTCAATCTTACATGAGTTTTAACATTTGTCATTTTATGGTATTTTTGAAATAAATATTATCCACTTGTTAATTTCTGATTTATTCAAGCTTTAAAATTAAATTATATACTTATATATGTAAAGTATTAAATATAATATATATGATATTAAATTGCAATGAATAAGTTTCTCTCTTTCTCATTTTTTAAGTTTTAATTTTCTTTAAAATCAACCCGTATAATTTAAAGGTCTCATAGTTCTTTTATTATAATGAAATTAAATATACTCCCATTTATCCTTTCACTCATGTGAAATAGTGATTCATGTAAAATAGTGATAAGTATCAGATTTTCATAGAATTAATTATATTTTAAGATATTTGTTATTATTCCAGAAATAAAATTAGGGTTCTCTTCCGTAATTACTTTCACAACCCTTTATTAAATATTTTTGAAAAATACCAAAGTCTCGAAACAAAACGCTAACAAACATAGTATTATAAGTTATAACTAGTATTATAACCGTAATAATATATTTTTGGAATATAAATCCAAACGCATATTTCATGATACACCATAAAGTTCCAAATTTTAATACAATTGAAGTTGAATTCAGGCAAATATTTTCGTATCACAACAATCATAGATAATTCTGATATAAACACAGTTGTTGGCCACTGTCAAATGGCAAGCATTAGCCCCGGTAACGACCGCCGGAAAAGATCTCGAGGTTGGCTCCGCCAGACAGTGGACCGGTTCTCCTTCCCCGACCAGCCAAGTGGCCAACCAACCGGCCTCACCCTCAACTCCTTAACTGTGAGCCACGTATTGAAATACTCCCTGAACCGGGTTATTAACCCGTCTTTTAGAACCCAAACATGTACCCAATACACGTTTGCACCTTCGTAACCCTCAACGATCACTGTATGATCATCGATGGTGGTAACACTTCGGGGTTCAAAGTTGAACTCCGTGTGTGGAGCTTCTCCGGTGAGCATCCTCATCATGTGGTGGCAATTTTGAGGGCCGTGGAACCACCACTCAAGGTCGGTGGCTAAGATTCCGGAGACTAGTTTGGTATCTCCGGAAGCCATTGCCTTGTAAAGAGCCTTGACTGTAGTCTGGTTTTGGATTTCTTCTTCAATTCCATTTATTTCTTCCATTTAATTTGGATTGGAAAATATATATAAAAAAAGATTTGAGTTGAATGGAATAAGCGGTGGCTTGGGGGGTTTTATAGGAGACTGTAGAGAGAGAAAGAGTGACGAAGTAGGACCCAACCATTCCGAGGATATAGGGCTATTTACATTTAACTATGTTACAGTGAAAAAAATGCTACAAATCAACTTTTTATATATACTATAATTTAGTATCTATAGTTTTATTTGGTAATATATGGCAGGGTTTACATCTTTTATTGTAACATTTTATATATTTACTTTACTATTTATGGAAGGGTTTACATCTTATATTGTACCATTTAAACTTCATTATTCATCTATTAAGTAGCGTTTAATAAAAAATAATTTTATAATTATAAATTGATATAATTACTTTTTTTAATCAATGATGTATTTTAGATATGTTATTTGCATATAATTATATTTGTTATGAAAATTTTCAACTATTTTACTGATCAATCGTATAAAAGTAAGAATTATAACTTTTAGCTACCAACTACAAGATAGCTTTATCGAACATATTCATAATGTTAAATAAAACTTATTTAATTGAACTTTGTTAAAAAATATTATAAATACTAGAGGAGCTGAAAACTTGATGAAAATCCGACTGTGAATCATTTCTAAGCATGAGATACATTCATTATATATTCCGAGCTCTTTGTTTGCATCATATGAGCTATAGTTGAGTTTGAGCTCGATTAACTCAACTCGTTTTCAACTGTGTATTATATAACATACATGTGAGATTATATAGTTACATATTTCATAGGACCTACAACTGATTTATAATAAATATGAGTTATAAACTAGTATTAAAACAACTGATAATTTCTAAAATACCATATTTTAATTAAAGAGAAAATAGTTTTATAAAAAGTAGAAACAATTTAAAAAAAATGTTGTTACTGTTGATATTTAACGTAATTTTAGATTATGCTGAATACTATTTATTTATCTTACCTTCCGCCCGAAAAGATTCTTCCTTGTTCTAACTTGGACGAATATGTTGTCTTGCACAAATATTTTATGATATATAGTTTGTTTTTTGTGTTAAAATAAATTATATTGATATTTTATCTTATTTAAGTTTCTTGTATGAAAGTATATGTGAGTTATGAAAATGTTATATATGTGACGATTTATTTGATGTTTCCAAGTAACATAAGTTCAAATTGGGGAGACTATGTCTACACTTTTCTAAAATAAGAGGGATATTACTAGGATCAATGTTTTTAGTCGATGATCTATATTGTTGATTTTAGTGTGTTTATGTGTTAGAGTGTATGTTTGTATGTATGTTTATGTGTCTAAATGTGTGTTTGTGCATTTAAAATGATTAAGAACGGTACATTGTAAATCTTTTAATGTTAAAATCTTTGTCAACAAAAATATGTGTTTGGTGTTGTGTCTACGTTGGCATAATTATCTACATAAGCTTTGGTGCAACCAGCTTAACCTGTATTTTTTTAGTTTTCTCATAAAAGGAGTATAAAATAATGTTTAAGGACTAAACGAGCAAACAATAGTATATTGAGGGAAAAAATAGATAGTTTAGTAGTAAAATACATCCACAACTCGTGTTATGCTAGGGGGTTGATGTTTGGTGATCATTGATTTTCTTAGCAATCTCAGGGCGGTGATAAGATGTTGGTCGTTGGTATTCAGACAGTGGTGATCGTTGTTTCTTGTTGTTTAATTACATAGTAGGTAATTCTATGTTCGCTACCGAGTCTCGAATTGATTTTTCCTTTTCTTATTTGTTTAAAGCTCAAAATTGGTTGAGAAAAAAAACTTGAAGGAGAAGGTTTGAACAATTTACATCGATAATATAAATCATCTGCACACCACCTTACTTTAATATTTTAAAATATACATATACATTCACTAATAAAGATAAGAATATAAATATTGGGGAACCTAGTTTAGTATTACCAAGTTGCCCACACACCATTAGAACGGGTTCGAATAAGTTAAGCGAAATTTGTGGAGACTTGATTAACATTTGTAGATGTCATGGCGTTTCTAACATGATAATAATGCAAACATAATTTTTTTATAACATTCTTAAAAGACATAATACAAGGATTTGGAAGTGTAACATGCATAGCCTTCTTACATAAGTGAAACCTAACGAATGGATTTACCAAAAAAACATTAAAAAGTGGAAAAATTACAAAAACGGACTTGGGCTTTCTGATTTTTATTATGTTAAATCAAAAAAATCTATAAAATGACCATTTTACTCGTAAAAACTGAAACTGAAAGAAAGAATTTATCAAAACACCAACAAAACAAAACAAAAAATGACATAATTAGTTTTGTAAAGGGCTCAAATCTGCCAAAAAAAATCTTACACATATTAACTGTTTTTGTAAAAAAAAAAAATATTATATGAACCTTTTCTATAAATTAAAAAATTGCAGGGAGTAAATCTACCAAAATGTAAAACCTTTGTTACAAGGACTAAATCTATTAAAATGCATAACCTTTGTTGCAGGGACTGAATTTGCCAAAATATAAAATCTTTGTTGCGGGGATTAAGTATACCAAAATGTAAAAGTTTTTGTAGCAAAACTCTAAAAAAGGAAAATTCTACTGTTCCTAAGGGCTATGTAATTTAATAGTGAATTTTATGTTTACATGTTTCTGTGTTTCTTTGGGTTTTTTCTCATTAGTTGGTTCTATTTTTTGTGTATATAAAGTTTCGAGGAGAGTATGGGACCAAAAGTGCCAACTCCACAAGCTAATATGGCAAAAACTTTAGGGGCCACATTTGGTAAATGTCGAGGATCAAAAGTGGCAAAACTCTTGAAACCTTTGTGACTAAATTTTGAATCATAAAAAAGTTAGTGTGTGAATAATGATTTAAGGAACTTGTGGCTAAATTCTAATAATCAAAATTCATTATTCCTAAGAGCTAGGATAAATGGATATTTTCTATAAATTAAATAATTATAGGGACTAAATCTGTAAAAATATAAAACCTTTGTTACATGGAGTAAATTGAAAGGACTAAATCTGCCATAAATGTAAAACCTTTTTTGCAAGGTTTAAATCTACGAAAATATAAAACCTTTGTTGTAGGGACTAAATCTATCGTAATGCAAAACCTTTTGGTGGGGCACCAATTTAGTAAATGACATGGACCAAAAGTGAAAAATTTGGAAACTTTAGAGGCAAAAGTCTTAAGTAATGAAAAGTATTATTCCTTATGGCTATGTGAATTAATAATATAATAGAAGAGGTATCCCGTACGTTGTGCGAGTTGGAAACATCAGCAACGTTCCAAGCTACAACCGAACTTAGGGGAGAACACATGATCAATTAAGATGGTGAGTTTGTACCATAGAAGGAGGTTTAAACAGAAAAAGGTCTCATGTTTGTCTTTTGTTTGCAATTTGCTATTGATACATGAAATCTATCAATTTAATATAAAAACACATTTACATCCAAAATAACCAACTTAATAAAACGATAATATCATCGATGGAAGGGGAAATCAAAAAGAAACCTATAGTCGGAGCTGAAGTTGCAAGTAGTTGGACCATCTCCACTTCTATCATCTGAATAATTGCCACCATAAGTGAATAATCGATAAAATATAGAATCTTGGAAGAGATGGCTAGGGAGAGTGGAGAATTGTGTATAATTAGAGTACGAAAAATTAGGGAAACATCATAATTGATGTCTTTTGGTAACGCTTGGAAGCATATGCAACTTCACCGACGCCTTCAACAACAATGTAGTTTTTCCAATGGGTGGGCCGACCTCTTCATCGATTTTCTGGTTTTCGTCCCTCCCCCACTTGATCTTTTTCTATCGAAACCAATAGAATAGTTATCTCAATAAGGAGCGGAGGCATCAGGATGCGTGGCGCTGATCTGATCATTAATCAGATGTCGAATGTCACACCCCTACCCGGCCTTTGATTGAAACACCGAGTAGTGTGACGGTATAAAGAGAGTCAATCCAATTAACCTAAGAAAACATGCATTTTGAAAATCAACATGATGTTGGTGAGTGTACGCGTTTTTATTTTGAATTTTTGAATTCATTTTAAGAATAATTTTCTTCAGTGAAAACATTTCTTATTTATTTATATAGTATTCTATATTTTAAGATGTCTTTTATTGATCATAAATTACTATTTTTTCAAAACATCTACCGATCCTAATATAATATAATTAGGATTTTTTTTTAAATATTAATTTACTATCTTTTTAGAATTTATAAGGATATATCAAATAATTCAAATGCAACGCTAAACCCCACATGAGATTTAAGCTTTACCAATCAAATAAAATGTACCTCTCATTCTCATGCACGTGCATCTCTTCATTATTTCTGGTAGGGTTGAAGAACCAATCATAAACTATATATATATATATATATATATATATATATATATATATATATATATATATATATATATATATATATATATATATATATATATATATATATATATATATATATATATATATTTCAAGATCAAATAAGAAGAAAATTTTTGGTAGAAAGGTAATAAGTTTCTTTTCTACATATTTTTTTAGCAAACATACAAAATGAATCATTAGATGATTCATAAGAAAAAAATTCACACACGCACACACAAAAAAAATAATAAAAAAAATAAATAAATAAAAACATCTTCGTGATTCATTTTTAAGTAATTTAAGAAAAAAAATTCATTTTTATGACAATTTTAGTGAATAACACCGAAATCCTTGTATAAATGAATCATTGATGTGTTTTTTTTTTGAGATTTTTTTGGTGAATCATGTTCATTTTTATTCATCTACTGATTCATTTCTTTTGTTCGTCAGAAAAGTATGTAGAATAAAAAACTTCTTACCTTCCTATCAATTTTTTTTTTTTAATGGATATATATATATATATATATATATATA